AAGTTCTTATAATTGCTCATAATTTCATCTTGTTCGTGCATTAGCATTCACTGATAAAGCTGAAAATACGACTTTCTGCTCCATATTTTAAAAGACTGAGCTAAAGGCACTGCAAACTATGACGGTAGTGGTAGTTTCTTCAACAAGCAGGTAATACAAAAATATTAACAGACAATGAACTATGCTCTGTATGGGACGATATTTAATAAAGATCGCCTACTGACGTCTGTTCAAATAACATTTTAATACTTAAAGAAACTATGATTTAACCATTTTCTTTCTGAATCAGAAATCACATTAAATAAGAATTATAAAAATTGTATAAAATCAAGTGTTTTCTCTCATTTAAAATGTGCCACTGAAAAACCTGGTAAATAGCAATGCATCAGAACAAAACTTAAGAAAAACTCGAACTACAATTTGATTTCCCAAACAATCTAATTTAGCTAAACCTCAGGATATTATTTGGGAAGTCATATAAATTATGGAGAAAAAACTGACCAATTTCCAATTTGGTAGTATATAACAAACAAACAAAAAAAACCTTAACAATGTATCTAAAACACGTTGACTCAACAATTCAACTTCCAGGAATTAATTCTAATGAAAAATACCTACATGCACAAATACTGTGTTATGTGAGAATCAATATAGCATTGTTTATAAAAGCACAGGGGGAATAAACAACTCAAATTCACATAGGGTAAAATTAACTCAATTATGAAACATTCATGTGACAGAAGAACACATAGCTATGTATACAAATATAGTTGACACAAAAAAATTCAAAGTCCAGCCTGGCCAACATGGTGAAACCCCATCTGTACTAAAAATACAAAAAAAATAAAAACTAAAAAATAGTGGAGTCTGGTGACATGTGCCTGTAGTCCCAGTTACCCGGGAGGCTGAGGCAGGAGAATCGCTTGAACCCCAGAGGCGGAGGATGCAGTAAGCCGGGATCACACTACTGTACTCTAGCCTGGACAACACAGTGAGCATCTGTCTCAAGAAAAAAGAAAATTCAAGGGGTTGGGCATGGTGGCTCCTGCCTGTTATCCCAGCACTTTAGGAGGCCATGGTAGAAGGATTGCTTAAGCCCAGTAGTTGGCGGCTGCAGTGAGTCATGATGGTGCCACAGCACCCTGTCTCAAA